AGACTGATCAAGAGAGAGATCTTGGAGTTGTAGTAGATAACTCACTGAAAATGTCAAGACAGTGTGTGACTGTAATAAAGAAGGCAAATGCTATGCTGGGGATTATTAGGAAGGGTATTGAAAACAGATCAGCCAATATCATAATGCCCCTATATAAATCAATGGTGCAACCTCATTTGGAATACTGTGTGCAATTCTGGTCACCACACCTTAAAAAGGATATTATAGCTTTGGAAAAAGTGCAGAAAAGGGCAACTCGAATGATAAAAGGGTTGGAACACTTTCCCTATGAGGAAAGGTTAAGGAGCTTAGGGCTCTTTAGCTTGGAGAAACGACAACTGAACTTGTGGGCACTCCATGAAATTGCTGAGCGGTCGGGTTAGAACGGATAAAAGGAAGTACTTCTTCACCCAAAGAGTGATTAACACTTGGAATTCACTGCCACAGGAAGTGGTGGTGGCTACAAGCATGGACGGCTTCAAAAGGGAATTAGATAAGCATATGGAGCAGAGGTCCATCAGTGGCTATTAGCCACAAGGTATAGATAGGGGCTCTGGGGCAAGTGATGCTCTGTCATCTTGGTCCTTGGGGGGGTCAACAGTGGGAGGGCTTCTAATGTCCTGGCCCCACTGGTGGACCTCCTGATGGCACTGGTATTTCTGGCCACTGTGTGATACAGAGTGTTGGACTGGATGAATTTTGAACAATGGGAATCAACCTGGGTGGGCAAGCTTTTCTTGGAGCACATAAAAATAGATCTCACAGGGCAGTATATGGAATCTGGACTCTGTCTCTCCTTCAGTTCTCCTGTCTGTAGGACGAGGCTCCTGCTGACCTTCCTCATACTATGTAGGCTATGAAGAATGTTGCATCTTTTTCAAGTGCATATAAACGACCATTAAACAACCATCTACTTAGGAGGGACAGAAGCTGTCTTGGATATGATGGTGGGAAGCCTGGACCTGGGGAAAATCTGTACCAGTTCCAGGCAGGGGAAAAGGGGGAGAAAACTAGAGATGGTCTGAATAATTTTGGAATGTGGTCTGCTTCAGCACCCGTCTCCCTCTCTAGGATACGCATGGAGCAGCCTTTTCTTACTAGGCTGCATAGACAGGAAAACAAGGCATTGTTTTCTTTTCCTTTTTTTCTGGTCCAGCAGAACAGTCATTGATCAAAATATCCTGGAGTTTACCAGGCAGCATATCCTCATGCTGCCTTGGGTACTATCCATGGTCCTGAAACAGTGGTTCCAATCAAGGTCAACTTGATCACCTTTGAGTGGTATAATTCTTAACACAAAAATCCAGAATAGCTGTAGAAAAGAGCAAGAGTCCAGTAGCACCTGAAAGACTAACAAAATAGTCTTTAAGGTGCTGCTGGACTCTTGCTCTTTTCTACTGCTACAGACAGGCAAACACGGCTACCCATCTTGATCTATCTCCAGAATAGCTGGTTCTTGAGCCAAAATGACCTCATCTGTACACAGAAACATGCAGTGAAATAATGGGGAGGACGGTGCCTTTATCCATCACATTTTTATCCTATTCTTCCACCCAGGACCTCAGGGCAGCATGCATAATGCTCATCTTGTTCATTTTGTTCTCAGAACAATCTTGTCAAGTGAGTAAGGATCAGAGAGAGTGACCAGCTCAAGGTCACCCAATAAACTCCATGGTTAAGTGAAGATTTGAACTGGGGTCTCACCACTCCTAGTCTGATACCCTACTACAGAAAACTGGTTCTTGTACTCTTGAGTATGTACCCTTGTGAGTGCTGGCTGCACTAATCAGTTGAGATTCACTGTAATCCAGGAACCCGTTACTACTTGCAAGGCTATCTCAAACCATTGATTAGAAGGGGATGTGGTGGAAAGTGCTGTCATAAAAGCTGACCTATGGTGACCCCACACGGTTTTCAAGGCAAGAGATGTTCACGGGGGATTTGCCATTGCCTGCCTCCATGTCAGGCATCTGGTATTCCTTGGGTGTCTCCCATCCAAATACTTGCCGGGGCTGGCACTACTGAGCTTCTGAGATCTGATGAGATCAGGCTAGACTGGGCTATCCAGGTCAGGGCAACAGGATCTGTGGGGAGAAGTATATATCCCTGTTCCAGTATTGCTTCTTGTGCAGAATGAGAAGTGCCAAACAGGGCACTAGAATCTGTAGGCTAGAGTCTAAAACTGCCCATCAGTGTCATGTAGTGGTTAGAGCACTGGACTAGGATGTGAGAGACCCAGGTCTGATCCCACGCTCTGCCACAGAAGCTTGCGGGGTGACCTTGGGACACTCAAAGACTCTCAACATAAAGTACTTCACAAGGTGGTTGTGAGGATAAGAGGGAGGAGAGGACAATGATGTCAGCTGTTCTGGGACCCCACTGGGGAGAAAGACAGGGGATGAAGTAAGTAAGTAAGTAAATAAAAAAGTACTCTCTCTAAACCATGATCATCCACCCTCCAGCATAGAAAACCTGGAAAATAAAACCGTCAGAGCAAAGTTAACAGATAATTCCAGATGATTATGGAAACCAGAGCTGTACTGACAAACAAGGTGAAAGGATGCACTGCTTTTCGCATTTAAGCATGCTATTTGAAACTAGGTAATGTTAAAGCCAGGATTTCACTGGCCCCCATTTAGATCTGTGGTGATTTGATGTTTAAAAAACCGCAGTTCTGTCCTGACCTTTGGAGTAAGAAGAGGGCACAGCCGGTATGGCACAGTTAGGAAGGGAACAACAAAGCGGGGGGGACTCGATATTAATACGGAGCATACGCGCTCTAGAGCCCCCCCCCCCATGAACAAACTGAGTTTTTAGTGACGCTGCTGCTAAGCAGACGTATCAGCACCCTGGACAGCGCTAGTCCCGCCGGACGCCGCCGTAGACGCTAGCAGGCGACCGACCGCTAGGAGGCCCTCTTCTACCGCTCACTTCCCGCAAGCGAAGAAAGCGGATTCGTATCCGAAGGGAATGCCGGGGAGGGGAGGATGGTGTCTGTGACGCGACTTGTCAGGATGTCAGGTGGATTCGGGGAACTTCTTTGCTGCAGTCTCTGGCACTCGCCCATCTTTGGTGAGTGGGGATGGGTAAAATACGACTTTCGACTCCCCCGGCTTCTAATCTGAAACAGCCAGGGCGATGCAGCACCCAGAATCTGGGGAAACCCTCACTGAGAGCCCAGCAGCGTTTCAGGAGGGTCGCTCCGCTTCTGTTCACTCTCATATATTTTTACACCCATCCGTTCTGTGTGTGTGTGTGTGTGTGTGTGTGTGTGTATGTGGTTGGAGTCACTCGAATGACAAAGGCATCTTGTAGCACCAGAAAGGTAGCAGCCGCTCCCCTCGGCAGCTCCCCCCAGCGCCTTTTGCAGCCGTTCCGGACCCCCCTCCCTAGTCTCTCTTGCTCCGCCTCTGTCCAGCGCCAGTCGGTGAACGAATGGCTCCCCAGTGGAACAGGGAGGGAAGGGGTGGTAAGAGAAGCCAGTCACTCTGCGCGCGCGCCCCACCCCCCAGGCGTCGC